AGTTGAAATATCGGGTTGTCACACAGATCATCGAATCATTTAACCGAAATCCATTTCTCATGACCAAATTCAACTTACACTTCTCAAGCTTCCTTCTTTCTCTTGGATCCTACAAAAACATCAAATTGTGACTATCACATCATGTATTAAGAAACTATGAATAACAACATATTAAAGTAGAGTTAGATAGTTGATGTACCTGAAGTAGAGTCATACGACTTGACTTTACCATCTCTGAGATCTTTAAGATATTATAGGCAGCTTCGTATCCAATGCCTCTTCTATTGGCAAATGAAACATATGGATTTTTCTAGAATAACACATGGGACTATATCAAGATTAGCCTTTCTCTTTACCATATGGTCAAATAGTTTGACCTTGACCGATAGCTTTCCATTGAGAAGAGAAACCTTTTCTGGACTACCAATGTTGCCATTTTTAATGTCCATGGAAACTTGGAAGACAGATCCTTCAAACATATTTTCTTGATTTATGCTCTTATGCATTTCTGCATCGGCAGTAATCAACAAATATGTCAGATCAATTAGGGTCACGTCATGGTCTCTCTTATTGAAGTCTTTAATGAACTGACTATATGAGTTATGAAGCGAAAGTAGACCCAAGTCAATGGCTAGCTCCCTTGAGAAAATGAAATCAACATTCCCAATCTGTCAATGTGCGATTTCGTTTTCAGAACATACGTACACAAAGACTTTCCATCTTGATGTTTACTAGCCGATGGGGCATGAGTTACTTCGTGTTTTTCAACTTGAAGAAAACGTGGCTCAATGTGAATTATTGGTTAAGGTGGAGAAAGAGTTGGAGAAGCACGGTTTCCAGTTCCACTAATGCTTAAAGAAGGGAGCATTCTTGCACCTTGATCAACATGTGAAAGATCATCTTCAGATAGGGAAAAAACATTTCTAGAAGAATAGGAGAACCATTGTTGTCTTGACTCAACATCTATAAAGGTAGAAAAGAGAATTCAAGTTGGTTGTTTTCAATCCTTAATTATTAGCCTAAATTTTAAATTAAGGCTAGGATCCATATTTTCAATTCGAATTTTGAAGATGGATGCCGTAATCAAATCAAATCTATTTTAGGAAGGTAAAGTATTTTCCAATTTCAATCTTATGAAACTCCTAGATCTTTTTAGATGTATTGAACTATTCAATGACATGTTTAATCTCGATTATGCTCTCACTTTTTGACTGGGATGCCGAGGATCATAAACGAGACGTGAATAACCATGTAAATTGGCTTGGTACTCTCGATGTCATTTATCATCTGAAATTAACGTGGCGGTTAACCACATACGCTCCATTAATTTAATGATTATTTACGAGACACCCATTGCCCGCAATATTAGTCTCATATTAGTGTGTTAGTTAAACACACACGCTCCACTAACAACCACTAAGGTGCAATCTGCAATTTCATGGGTTAGCATCAGATTCTCATTTTTCCTAAAGTAACTAAGAGTAAGATTTTTTTAGAAAAATGATTTAGTTACTTTATAATTCATTAAATACTTAATGAGATTTATTTTGTCCTATCAAACCCATTTGGCTAGCGACCCTTCACTAGTCAACGAAGTGGTGTGTGAGAGGGACACTCATTCAATCGTCATTTTATAGGCAATATCCTTAAACACCCCCCCCCCCCGGTCCGCGGGTATAGACCACCTTCGTGAATGAGACCAACTAACGGTAATACAAACTTTTCATATACGTATATAATATATATTAAACTTTTGATTATATATGTAATGTACGGTGAATTTTAAAACATTTTAAAATTCCAAGGGTTTAATCATTTAATAAATTAATATTTTAATTTAATTAAATTTAAACCGTATATGGATTTATTAATTATCATTTAATTAAATTATCAACAAAATCCATAAAAATGTAATTTAGGATTTACATTTTAAATTTCAAAAATTAAACAATTTAATTTGAATCTCAACCAACCCTAAAATTAACTTTAAGTAATAATCAAAACAATTATTTAGTAACCAATTATGGATATATTAATTATCCTTTAATTAAACAATTAATTAAATTATTAATCACAACCATAAATATCAATATAATAAAATAAAATCAACATTATCCAATTCATAATTATCTCCTAACATTAACACCATATTTAATTATTTAATATTAGCAAAAATCGCATTATGACAGATTTAATAAAGAATAATTAGAAAATATTAACCAAATAAATCAAGTTAGGAAAGAAAAATCCGAAGTCAGGATCTGATGCACAAACACGCCGAGTTGGAGGACCAGCTCGTCGTGTTGGAGTCCAACACGTCGAGTTCGAAGAACAACTCAACGAGTTTGAAGAAGAGAATGACGATTCTGTTTTCCCTTCCTTGTTCAAGTTCGTATTAGTATCAATTCAATAGAAAATGAAACTAGACTCTAAAACCACTGATGGGTTTTAAACATGACATACAATCCTATGTGTATATGCAACCCTAATTGAAGATCTACGTTTTCTCTAATTGAACATACGATAATGAACAACAAAGTATAAACTCCAGATCCCTAATAAATAATCAAAATTCACATAATAAAGGGTTATGAAACATACCTTTAAGATTGTTGTTGTAAACAATCTTGAATCCTTGCATGAAAGACCTTTGATAGCAAGCACCACAAGTGTCGTGTCTCTAATGGTTCACTGACAAACTCAAGCAACCAAGGAATACTATAGAGAGAGAAAGAGAGGGAGAGAGAGAGAGAGAGAGAGAGAGTAACGGAAGAGAAATTTTGGCCCTTGGGCTTTTGCAGCAGTCATAGCTGAAATTTAACCCTTAAGAGGGTTTATATAGGTGTTACAAAAGTATTGGAAAAGGAAGGTATATGTAAGATAATCCTAATCACTTAACTTCCTCTCTAAGGCATCCAAGGAACCCTTGGAGCCCAAGGAAACCCTACAAACACCTAGAATTCGTTCCTCTTAATATAGGGAAGTTTTAGAATTCTCCAATGCTCAATTATTGAGCATTGTCACCTTTTGTCGCTAGAGTTTTAATTAATTCCTTTAATCCAAAAATTAATTCCAAATTAATTTTTGATTAAATATTAGTTAAAAAAAAATATGATTTTTAATCAATATATTATTTCCATAATACATTAATAAAACATTTATTTTGATTTCTAATTAATTTATTAACCAATTAACAAATTAATAAATCACTTTTCTCTCTTTAACAGTCATCATATTCAATTGTCACATTTGAAGGCAACCTAAAATGACTGTGCTACTATCAATTAAAGTATATACCATTTATAGTTAAGGGCTTAGACACGTAATCCAACATATTAGTCATATATCGATTTTAAGAGGTATAAGATATAAAACGTTTTGTACAAATCGATTATCTATGAATAAATCCTTAATACTTGCTAAACGTTTGGAGACATAAATTAAGGAATGTTATTAAGAAATTTAATTTGAAGAAAAATGATAATTTTAAAATAATAAATTCATGTATATAAATTAATTTACATTTTCTTAAACTAGACACCGATATTAATTAATTACATCAAATGTACAAACAGACGATATAAATATAAAGTCTAAACATAAATATTGTATTTAAAATTATTAATATTTTATTACATAATAACAAATAAAATATCTAATAATTATTTCCCCGTAAAAAAACTATTCGTCAAAAGATCTATTTATCACCACAGCTTTGCATGGACATACATCGTGTGTGTGTGTGTGTGTATATATACACACACACACACAACATTTTTGCTTAAAATTAGGTAGAAAAAAACTTTTCGAGGGTTTTTTTAGCACCATCCTTAAAATATTTCAGCACTTTAATTACTACTTTTCCTACAATTTTTTAGGCTACACCAAAGTAGAATAATAGCATTAGGTAAAGGCCAAAACCAAGGGATGTGATCTAAACTACACCACTTAAAAGTCAAATCACATTTCTTATATTTTGGATGGCTATTGGATTCTTTTCTACAAGATTAAGTACATTTTCTCCAATTGTTTGCCATGAAGCAAACATTGATCGATATCACACCTACCATTATTGTGAACAACATCAGAACCATCGTGTATTTCTTGCATTTCTACAAGGTAATGAAAATTATATTTTCTTATAAGAGTTTATCTGTTAATCCCCATAGTTGAGATCTCTCTTATGTGTTTATATGGATTGAAAACATACATCTATTTTTCTTTTGAGTTGTGAAATTAACTTGAGATTTTTGGTTGCTTTGAGCCTTAAATTGTTAATGGGTATAGTTAATTACCTATAGTAAATTTATATTATGTAAACATGAAAACTGTGATATGAATTTGTCTATTGCATTGATTATTTCATACTAAACACTACCTTAAGGATTGTATATTAAGATCTATTAAGTCAAATAAAAAACTAAGTAGATTTCCTTAAGATTATTTGTAGATGGAAGTAATATGAATAACAGTGTCTCATCCAAGATCATACAACTCACATCAAACATTTCCATTCGCCCATGGTTTTTATTTGAAGAAAGGGACGCCTAGGTCAATTAATTGTTATATGAGGATGGAATGGAATGGATGGATTAATGAAATAAGTGAAGTAATGGAATCAGTCTATTACATGATCATCTTTAGTAACTTGTATGAATAAAATGAACTTTTGAGTTTTATTTTTTTTATATGTAAATACAAGTATACTCTTAACTCTACTTAATAGATTATATTATTATAATTGATGAGTTTTCTATTTACAAACATAAAAATAAATTAATAAAAACCCATTAAAACACAAATAAGATCATAATATGAAATATATTATATACCTAATTATAGAAAATGAAATTGTAATTTAGTTAAAATCGTGAAGTTATAAAAGAAATGTGTCATTATAAATGTAAAAGAAATATTTTGTTTTGAAGATTTTCTAAATTTCAGAATTGAGTGTAGAAAAAATACCCACTAAGGATAAAAGTTAACAAATGGGAAAGAACCATATTTTCAAGATTGTTCTATTCCATTCTATCAAACAAATATTTCTTTTCATTCCATAGGTATTAACAATTCCGCTATGTTCTCAATTTCATCATATCAAATACTACCTATCTTCTATTAATCACAAGTCATAAAAATATCATGGTAAAATAAAAATCAAGAAACTTGTGAAAACATCAAAGAGAGATCATAAAAAATACTACTTATCTTCTATTAATCACAAGTCATAAAAATATCATGTTAAAATAAAAATCAAGAAACTGGTGAAAACATCCAAGAGATAGATTGAAAAAGAGCTTATGTATTGATCCAATTTCCTGCATCTTCTCCAAGTAATTGCTTATTATTTGTCATTGTTGACATTAGTTACCCTTTAAAGCTCAACATTCCAAACAACATTATCTCCTTCTCCACAAGAGTTATGAATGAATTTTATCCTCTCAACTGACTTGCATATCCCACTGCATGACCAATCAAATGTAGCTGCACAAACATTGCCTACTTGTTTCTTCCATTCGCAATCTGTAGTTCACATATAATGACAAATAGTCAATCATCTAACATGCATACATACATGTAGTTGGTTACCTAAGATATGTTTGTGACATAGGACGTGACATGACATGCTAATAAGTACTTAGACTAACTTTGATGTTAATGGAAGAAAAATGAAAAAAAAATAGTGACCTGGAGGAGTTCCACAACACATGGAACGATCATCTATGTGTTGAACATCCAAGCCAATCAACCATGAGCCTAAAGAGACATCCTCATTGGCGTACTTATGCAAAATACCCCTATAAAAAGAACACGAGCAGTAAATTAATATGTCTTTAATGAAGGTAAGAAATGAAATTGTTATGTGTTATGACTTACGAGTTGATGGAGATATATGCTGCTAAATCCTTGGAGATGGCATATATTTGTCCAGTTGCATGTCTGAAGTACTTGTTCCCTTCTTCACCGAATTTCCAATATTCCGGTTCGTGGTATCTTACCCCTCTGCTCAATTTAGTTTTCAAAATAATCATTTAGGTGCTGTTTTTTTTAAGCTTAATAAACTTAAAGTGGTGATCTACAAAATTGTGTTTCTTTTTTACTTAATACCATTATGTCATGTACGAGCTGAATCATGATGTTAATAATAATAAAGTGTTGTATATATAAGATCCTTTCTATTCTTTTCTAGCCTATAAACTTGAATAATTTGTAAACAATGCTAAATAACTATTTTACATTTACAATCCAAAATGCAAATTTCGTAATATGCATCAATTTAACATAAAAGTTACGAGTAAGAGGAAAGAAGAAAAAGATAAATAGATGAAGATATGGTGTCTCAGTACATTAAGCCATACTTTTTCGCCATAATCTATTAAGCTCATTAAGTCAAAAAGAAATAATCCGATAATTCTAGTGAGAGATATTCTTTAACTTAATATAGAAATAGAGGAAGTCATGAAAAAAAGGCTTCCCCATGAAGTCATAACTACACACAAGTTTTCCCTTATTCATTTTCATAAGTGTGTCGTCATATTCTAAAGATAATTGAAATAAAGAAACATAGCCTTCATTCTTAGCTATGAAATGAAGAAACATTATTGGAATAAAGCAACATAGCCTTCATTCTTAGCTATGAAATGATCAAATCCAACACACGATACAATATGCATTCATATTGGTATTATGTGAATATTTAATTCCAACACCAACAAAAGTATCAAACCACATAAATGATTAGAGAAAGCAAACTGACTTTTGAAAGAGCACGGGTCCCGATTTCATGCATCCAAGATATGTTCTTGGTTTAGATCTGTAGCGTGCCAGTGCAGTCACCAGCATACCTAAATTGACATGTACATCATCATCCACCTTCACATAAAATTCTGCATCCCAAATGGAGACGGCTGTCGAAAAATACAATCTTGTCTTTGTGGAGAGCTCATGGTACCCCTCCACATGATTCAACCTCAAAAAATCATGATATTTTTCCTCCTCCATGTCAATGGCTCGATCAAGAACACCTCTGGGTGTTGCACTATGCCCTATCACAAATCTTATTATGATCCCCTTTTCTTTTTCCAATTTATTTAGTTTTGCTCCTGCAAAGTGTCGATATGTAATTTTATCAATTTTCCATCCTGTTAAATAGTAAAAAGGATATACCATATAATGGGTCCCACAACCAAAATGGGTAAGGTCCCCACCAATGGATCCCACAAATTATATTCTCATATGCTTACTGTTGGGGCAAGCATTTGGGATGGTATAAAAATAAATGAGGTAAGGGAATGTAAATAAAAGGTGAACCAGTAGGCATCCACGTTTCTCGAAGGGAGTCTCGACGTTTCTTGCTGCTAAAAGCTGTATTAATACCAATGACAACAAATGCTTTTTGTAGGGATGTCTTGTTAGATGGATTCATTCTTTCTGACATTAATTTAGGCATGGGTAGACTTGCACGTGCAGCTTCTAGTTCCATCTCTAATGTGAATATTGTTTTGTCCAATGATCTAGAAAGTTACATAAAAAGATAGTGGATCCTTGAATTTAAAAAGTAGCGGTAAGGCAGGTTAAGACAAGAAAAAATCAAACAAGATAATGTTTGATGTGCATTAGACAAGAGAAATATGAAATTCTTTGGTACCACCCAAAAACATGGGACATATATTTTCTCTCGTTCTTTCAAAAAATAGCCCTAGGATATGTCATGTCTTGTGTAAGAAAAGAAAATAGGCATGGACTTACTGGATGGCTTGATGAGTCTTGGCAACTTCTCCCATGATATCTCCTGAATTATCTTGAACCAATTTCTAGTAGAAAGAAGCTACTTAGTATTGATTAGAAATAAATTTAGATTTAATATAAATAAAGATTCAAGTTCTAAGTACTTACACTCTTTCGATCACAGTCTTTAGGTGTCAATAAATTCATCTTATGTTCATGATTCTTGAAATTAATGTCGTTAAGTATGGTCGTGTAGGGCCATGTGTGTCTGCTGAAAAGTGTGCCCATAAGAAAACTCGCAATGCATAATGTCAAAATGATCCTCCCGGGAACCGCCTTTCCCCTCATTTTGAACATTCATTCCTGTAAATTTTTGGGGGTGTTCTTGTTGAAAATAATTAACCAAAGAAAATATTGTATAGTTTATGTGGCCTTAATTTACGTTTGTAAGAGAGAACTAGAGAAACTTTCTATGGTGCGTTTCGATCATTTGGATGAGAAGGTCAGTTGTGTTTTTTGCACAGACAAGGGATCGATAACAAGTCCTTGTTACACCTTTTGTGTGAGACAAAAAAAATTCTAATTGTCCAAACATAATAGAACTTGTTAAAGTCATGTCCTATCTTGTATAACATTACAAAACATTTTTACATTAATTGGAATAGAGTAATATATTTGGGATATTAAGAAATTATTAACATGAAAAAAAAGTTGGTGGTGAAGATACCTTTCAGAACTCAAAACAAGATGATCATTGGTATACCAAGCAAACTAGCTAATATCCTTCCAGAAGTAATATAGTATATTATAGTAGCAGCTTATGGTATGGTAGTGCCACATTGTTTTGTTTTGTTGGTATAGAATATAGAAATAGAGAGATTATTAGAGGAGAGAGATATATGGGTAGGCAACAAAGGGTGTGTGGTTGTTTAATCATGTGGGATTCATGGTTCAACCAACCAAAGAAGATGCGTTGAGTTGAGATGATGTAAAAATAATCCACCCCACCTCGAGTTAAGTTATTATTCTACATGACGCAACCACTTCCTTGAATTGTCTTTCTTTCATTATACCTTTACTTCCCATCCCCTCTCCCCAAAACAATTAAACTTTATTGGTTTTAGGTGTTAAAATAACATCTAAATCATAAAAAATACACTAATTCTTGCGTTATGAGAACTCACCAACTGTTTTTTGGTCTTTCTAATATTAAAACAATTTTTTCCCAACTCTTCGATTAAACAAAGTGTGGTGAGGGGCTTCTTGCGACTTGTTTCTCAAGATATATAGACTCAAGAAATGGGTGTGTGTGTGCCTAAAATACGTATAATTAATTAATTTGCTTCAAATAGGAGTGATAATTCGATTTAATCTATGAAGTGTACTAAAATTTAAAGACCCTATGGAATTAGATTGATACAGTAACTGCACAAAGCTATATTCTCTGCTAACAGGGAAGGTTGTTTTGGCATGTGTTTAAAAATCCTAAAAATATGATAATTATTGTTATATATAATATAATATTATTGAAATGATGATGCATCTTCATATTATGTATACAATTTTAAATTATTTTGGAAAAATAGTTTTAATAATCAAAATAACAAAGTTTTATGAATTCTGGAAAAAAAAATTCAACAAAATATCCATCCACAAGCTAGTAGTGCAATGAATTCGAATATAGATTTTTATTAAACGTAACACAATAAGTTATGTTTAATGAACAATAAAAACTTTAAACAAACAAGTCTTCTCATTGTGGATATATTGTTGGTCACTGTTATCAATAGATGTAAGTCGAGTGTCATACACAGTGATTCTAGTATTTTCTAGAGCATTCAAGAAGACATTGGAGCATACTATATAGCATGGAAGACACTTGAACATCCTAAGAATTCTAGGACATCGAAGAAAAACCTAGAACATTAAAAATCCTTGTATATATCTTATGAATTTGGTAGATAGATCTTGAAATATCATGATAGTTCAGGATCTAGAACTTTATTAAGGAGGCCTAAGAACCTTATAAATACAGGTAGAGTCATTTGTATCAAACCATTAGAATTTGCTTTGTATTCTCCCGATTTCTTATAATACAATTTCTCTTTTCTTTGTATTAACTCTAAAGCTTTGGTCTCTTACTTTCCAAGTCGTTAGTACATCAAAAGCAAGCTTAGTAAGTCTAACTTAGTTGGTGTAGCACTAAGTGGCTGATGATGAAAGAGTCGTCGCATGACATGTGGTAATAAAGCCAAATTCTTGCAAGCATGATATAATAGCCATGGAATGAGGGAGCAAAGTAGCTAATATTCCCCTCTCATCATCGAGAAGGGAAGGAGTGTAAAAAAAGGACCAATCGGTAGATAACTTGACAAGCTTAGAACAAAAACTTACAATGTTAGAGATACACCGAATGGAAGGATACCATCGATTGGTTTGTTGGTGACATAAGTGATACGAGTGATGAAATGAAGGAGTCTATCCGTTTTGTCAAAGAATAATTCCTCATACTAATTAACACTTTGTGGAACGAATTCCATGAAAATATAGGCACCTTAGAAGCTAAAGTAAATATATGCAAGGCAACAATCGTCAGAGGAGCTATTATGAAGATGATGCCACACACAGATGCACCTAAACCTTAGAAATACGGATGTAAGTGTGATCCGAAACTAATTGAAGATCTTTGTGGCCCTAGAATGTTACTTCAATGCAACTTGAGTCAAGGATGATAAATCCAAGATAGATATGGTCGTCCTATACTTGTGCGAGAATGTCGCTCTATGGTGGATGCAGAAACATGGGGACATTGAGAAGGTCTATACACTATAGAAACGTGGTAAGAATTTAAGAACCAATCAAGAATTTTTTTTCCTAGACAACACCGATGGAATAGCCATGAAAAAACTTCGAGACCTAAAACATGTCGGCTCGATTAAAGATTATGTGCGGAATTTTTGACATTGATGCTTGAGTTGCCGACTTACATGAGAAATACAATTAAGTTTACTTCCAACATAGACTACAATCTTGGGCTTATAATGAGCTCAAGAGGAGGACTATCGTAGATATCAATGAAGATATAGTTGTTACAGAATACCTTATAGACTTTCGAAGAGAAGCTCCAGTTAGGAAGCCTAGTGGAGGAGATAGACCTACACCAAGGATGCCACAAAAACAATATAAACATGCCACCAGACATCGAATTTCAAGAGAAAGTAGATGGAAGGGGGATTGAGGGGAGATATATTTTTATTTATGTGACATCTCCCATCTGGTAAGAGATTCTCCTAAGAAGAAAGGTTTCAATGCCATGGTCTTTGAAGATGAGAAAGAAGAAAAGTAAGAATCACAATTAGGCCTTATATGACTCATCAACTTGGTGGCAAAAGAAGCAACCAAGACAAGAAAAGAGGAGGTATTATGTTTGTAAAGGTTAGAACAAATGAAAAAGTCATAGGTGCGTCCAGTAACTTCCTTACCAAAAGTGAAGCAGAGAAGATGAATATTCAAAACACCAAAGAGGTAGGTTGGCTGAAATTTGTCAGGTCTCCTTCTAAGCCTATCCTTGGAGTCGCTTTTCGGAGTAGTTGTCAAGATAGGATGACAGAAAGGTCCAATCGAATTATAGATTGATGGAAGACTATTTTATGGTGATGGTAATGGATTTCATTGACCAAGTACACCCTTTTTCATTTGAAGATCAAACTATGCATCTCAACAAGCATTCCACGATACACACCGTTCCTTTGGAAAGAAGCAGAAAAAAGTCTCGAACCCTATCCACCATGTAACTTAACAAGGGAATTAAGAAATAGGAGATGATGTATTTGGAAACGCTAAAGGAAGATATGATCCATTTTAACGAGCAAATACCCAAGTGGTCAAGGAAGTAATAAAAGAGTTCAAGGATGTGATGTCACCAAAGCTGCTAAAGAAGTCACGTCCAAGAAGTGAAGTGGTTCACAAAATTAAACTAGAACTAGGAGCCAAGCCACCAACAATGCACCCTTATCTAATGGCTCCACTCGAGTTATAGGAACTAAGGAGGTAGTTGAAAGAGTTACTAGATGTTTGATATATTAGACATTCCAAAGCTCCATTTGGTTCCCAAATGTTATTCCAAAAGAATCATGACAATAGCCTAAGAACTAAGGAGGTAGTGGATATCTTCGATCGACAAGCAAGGGAACAATGGTTCTCAAAGTTAAACCTAAGATCAAGATTTTGGAAACTATGTATAGTGGTAATGATGAGCTATAGACAACATGTGTGATGAGGTACAGATCATTTGAGTTCTTAATAATGCCTTTTGGATTAACGAACGCACCTTCCACATTTCCACCTTATTGAATAAGATCTTCGACCCATTCGTGGATACATTTATGGTGTTGTACTTGGACAAAATTATGGTATACTCAGAGTAGTTAAAGGATCACATTGAACACTTAATCTAGGTCTTCCACGTACATAAAGAAAATCAAGTGTACATAAAGATAGGGAAGTGTTCCTTTCCACAACCTGAAGTATGGTTTTTAGGGCATAAAATTGTCGATGGAAAGATCCCTATGGATGATGAGAAAGTGCGAGATATTAAACATAGGGAAGCATCAAACAATGTATCAGAATTACGATTGTTCTTAGGTTCAATCAATTATTATCAAAGGTTCATATCCAGCTACTCGGCTAGAGCCACACCATTGGCAAACCTTCTAAAAAGAAGGTAACTTGGGAATGGACGGAAAGATGCCAGAGGACCTCTGACGACCTGAAGAAAGTTGTTCTGTGGCGCTTCCCATTCTTCATATATGATGTGAGCTAATAAATAATTATCTTATACACATTAATTGAACAAATATTAAGATTATATAATATTTGTAGAAAACCTTAATATGAAAATTATCGCTAAGCAATAAAATAAAGATTAAAAATAAACGATTACATAGGATAAATAGTGATGCGAATACGCGGGGCTGATTTGTGTTTGGGATTTTATGATTGCATCAGAAATAATAACTAGGGCAAGCTCGACTAGAAAATAACAAAAATGATAGTTTTCTTCAAAAATCATGACCTATACATTGAAATCGAGCCACAAATGAGAAATGTATCCTAAACAATGACAACAATCTGAACTATACGTAATAATTCAAGAAAGGATGAACAAAAGTTATTTGAAAAATCAAATCAAAATTTATCATTACAAATGATCTACCAAGGGCTATTAATAGCCTTGCAAGCTATTACAAAAAAGGAAAGTAATTTCAAAAAGGAAACTATCTTCTAAAGCCTTATTGAAAACTAAATAAGAAAATAAATAAAAGACAAAAGTCATTTCCAAAAATAAAATCTTCTAGCTAATTTATGGTGGTAACCATTAAAATCCATATTGGAGCGATTCCATGTAGCCTTTGCATCCAATAGAAAGTACCAAGTAACCCTTAGGAACCGAGTAGCCTATCAAAACCAATATCCATGGTGTATTAGAACCAGGTGTATGAGAGTGTGATTGGTTCTGAGGACATTGGCAATCGCAACACTCCAAAGTTTGCATCTGATAGTACTCTAAGGTTCGTATCGGATCATAGTCCAAGAATCACAACCGATCATAAAAGACCCCATCATACTGATAACAAAAGACCACAATTTGTTCCGAACTTTCTGACTCAGTCACAACCAATCACAATAGCAATTGATAACAATCCAAGGATCACTATGTAACAAACCGTTATTTCAAATATATGTAATAGTGTAGGTCAATTTGTACTTCTTTGTAAATTAATAAAGAGAAATTTTAGCATACTATGTATATTTACATAACTGACCCTCAAAAATAAATTATTAAATAATCTCAATTGGGATGAACCAAGTGATAGAGATTGTAACAAGCTTTCCAAAAATATAAAGAACACAAAAATCCGAGTTATAACGAACAAGTTATGACCAATCAAAAATCCGCGACAAAACCGGCAAAACACTATTCAGTGTAAAAACTGAATTTTTAATAAAAGGCTTTCTAGCCTTAACAATCTAAATGAAAGTTATAGTTTATGTTAAATCAAGAACTTTCATAAAAAGAACACCAAAATCTGACTTCGTATGAAGTTATGATTTTTCTATGTTTCAGTATACCA